TTCACGTCACGTTTGTGCAGGACTTTCAACATCGATATTAAACTCGAAAACATCTGACTTATTTTACCTTCATCACTGAAGGTTAAAGAGGAGTTTTTCTGAGGTAAGAACTCATTTAGACCGTCTCTTATTGTTCCAAGTTTCAGGTTTCACATTGTTTTGATTCATGACTGTTAGACTCATTCATGTGTTTTTAATATTTACTCTGTCAGTATATATTTTACAGCTCTGAATTATAAATTTGTCTTCAATGCAACTTGTGTTTAATGGCTGAATCAAGCATTTCAAACGATCACAGGCTTCTCTAATCTACTGACTGTGTTTAACACATCTTTAACTGCTTTAATGATCAATTTCAAGCTATATTTAAAAGTATTTATTGGGCGAATTTTCAAACAGCACTTGGCAAACCTATGCATTAGAGTTTTAAACAGTATGAATATTTAAAAAATATTTTTATTCAAAATCATACAATCATACAATCATCATCTCATCATTCTTTTTTGATAATGTGCTTTTATTTAAGCATTTCATGACAATAAAGATAACAAGAGAAAAGCAGAGGTTGAGGGTTTTACCACTTAGCAGTTTTGTAATAACATCTCATACTTTGATGCTATGAGGAAACCAGGTGAGGTAGAAGTTCTGGGTTGCAGAAATCTGCACTGAGGGCAGGTTCAGGACTGGAAGCTGATCACAGCCCAGGTGCTCATTTTCTACAGTCATGCTAAGTGTGCTTTTATACTTCCCTGAAAGAGTTAATCTGTAAATTAACATATTTACTGAAAATTTTCATTACAGATTGTTGCATAAATCCTATTTTAATTGAGATGTGATCAGTCCTGTAATTTTTCTTTGTTTTTGTTCATAAATGTTGACTTTCCAGGTTTGTTTTTATTGGTTGTTTACAAGTTATATTATTTAATGTTAATATTATTTTAAAATATCTTTATCATGACATTTTGAAATCCTTATCCATGCCTTTGTGATGACTAGACTGGACTACTGGAACGCCCTGTTTGTGGGCATCAGCCAGTATGTGATTTCATGCCTGCAGCTGCTTCAGAATTCTGCAGCATGTCTTTAACTGGTACTCACAAGCGCAACCATATTTCCCCAGTCGCATCGGCCCTTCATTGGCTCCAGGTCAGGTACCAAACAAATTTAAAATTTGTGTTTTTTTTTTTTAATTGTCAAAATGGCCATGCCCCGCACTACCTGTAGGAACTGTTGACATCTCACGTACCTCTGCAGTCTCTTCGATCAGCTGATCGTGGGCTGCTAGTGGTTCCCAAGACCCAACGCAAAAGCAGAGGAGACAGAGCTTTTTCGGTGATCGGTCACAGGTTTTGGAATGAGCTGCCTATAAATGTAAAACAGGCTGACACACTTATTGTGTTTAAATCTCACCTGAAGACTCACCTTTTCTCTCTGGCCTTTGATTGAAATGGTCGGTTTTACTGTGACTTGTATAATCTCGTTGCCACTGTATTGTTTCCTTCTTTTGTGCATGTTTTAATTGTACATCACATCGGTACATGTCACAGCTTTTTTATTAGTGCTTTGTTAAAAAGATTTGAATTGGAAATGTTCATTTAAATCTTTTTGTTTCTTCACAGAATTAATGCCCATTTGAGTTGCTAGTTCCTCACAGATTCAGTTAGGATTTATTTATATTTAACTAGCTATATTTTATTGAAATTATCATTCTGCTGGGGGACTTTAAAGCTCACATGGTTGTAGTAAAATACATTTTTAATTATGACCAATAAGATGTGGTGATTCCGTACAAATATGAAATATCAATCTGATTAATTTTTGAATATTTAATCAGAAGATTCTGGGGTTCTTTGCTTATTCAGGGACCATAAACACACTTTGCATTAATTCAGACAGAGTCAGTATATAGTTTATAAATGAATTTAATTATTTTTCCTAAACTATTGACACATAATAAGATATGAATAATGAGAGGTGTTGTGATGAAAGCTAGATGTTGTAGCAACCGTTCTTTGTATCAGAGAGAAAATGTGAAATCTGGGTGTAAAAGAATTTGTTGTTTGTTATAAACTAGAGAGTTGTTTATTTATAAACCTCATCAGACACCAGTATGCAGGCTTACGATACCCTGGTACAAGTTGCTCCCGGCGGTCCAGAGGGTTGCGGTCAGAGTGGTGAGGTCACCGCACGTTGAAACCACAATACTCAGAGATTAGTAGCTTCCTCTGAGTTTGGCTTCCCCGGCCATGAGATGCAACCCGGGGTCTGCAGATTAGGTGTCCAAGGTGGACGTCTGAGTTGAAGTAGCTCTGAAAAGAGCTGTTGTGTCTGTAATCACTTGCAGCGTCGCAGAAAGGTTTTGACTTTAGGTCAAAGGAGCTTGTTTTAAAAGAGGCTTCTTTCCCGATTTGGCTGAATCGGGGCTCAGCTGTAAACTGAATTATAATCGGGAAGCAATTCTTATTTTATTAAACTACTTTGTTATGATTTCTGGCCAAGTTTGGCAAATCAGAATTTTACACGTTTCTGACTATTTACCAACATCCATCAGAAAGCCACGCCTTCCTTCAGATACGAGGTGTTTTTAACCTAAATATGAATCTTATTGTAATGTGTGTAACAATGATGAACTTGTTAAATCAAACACATAGCGATTTGTGATATAAATGGATCATTGTAAGAACAATATTCATTTCTAATTCATTTATTTAACCCCAGGTTATTCAAACATTTGATTTAAACATCTTGTTCATTCATCACATATGTAGGAGTTGGTAAATCGAGTGCTTTAAGAGACAGACTAGTCTTGTGATTGCCTCCAGGTGAGCAACAGATGATTGACAGCATCAGCGGGACCCTGAAGGGTCAGTGAGTTCAGCTTTTACTCTGAAGGAGCGTTGCGTCAGGTGTAGCTTGCAACAGGTTTTATTTTCCAGCTGGTCAAGGTTCTTTGTGGTTAAAAGTTACGAGTGGCCGGCTCGAAATTCTAGAACGTTTGAACTGAGTTAAGGGTGGCGTGGGAATTTGTTTTATATCAGAATTTGCCACAAAAATAAACACCGCACATAACACACCACACGTCAGAAAGGAAAGCTCTGATTGGAGAGACAAAGGAATGTCATGTCATTTTAGCATTACGTGTGATCAGTCTATTGTCTAGTTTAAAGTTATATTACTTATTATATACTATCATATGATTATAATATCAAGTAATTAACATTCTCATTTTACAGATTGATTTAACATTGACTTCACATGATTATTTGGACTAACAGAGTTATTTGATTATTATTTAATAGAGTTCTTCTGATCTTCTCCTGAGCTGTAGGGGGAGGCAAATAGCTAGTTAAGACAGTTTTGATGCAGAGGCATCAAAGGCATTGAGCAATATCTCAAGGAGATTAGTTCTTCCTGAGGAGAGAGGAAAATGACCTTTAGGTGGAAAACAGTTCCTTCATGACACTACAGTGTGAAACTGGACTCTGACCTTTCAGTGACTTCACAAGTCAACTCCACTGTCAGGTCCTGCTTTTTCCAACTCCGCTGCATCACACGTCTTAAATCAATCCTCAAACGCACGCATCTTGAGTCAGTCATTCAGGCTTCCATTACTTCACGTCTGGATTATGCGAATTCTGTCCTGATTGGGATTAATGCTTCAGCCCTAAGCAGACTGCAGAAGGTTCAAAATGCTGCGGCCAGATTTTTAACCAACACTGACAGACGCATGCACATCACACCATTTCTCACAGATTTACACTGGCTCCCAGTCAAATTTAGGATTCATTTCAAGGTCATTTCCAGGTCTTATATGTATACAAGGCTTTGAACTTCCCATCCCCATCCTATCTGATGGACCTGCTGACTCCGTATGTTCCCACTCATCCCCTTTGTTTGGCAGATCATCTGCTGCTTGTTGTTCCGAAGGTTCGGTACAAATCACAGAGGGAGCGTGCCTTCTCATGCAGCCCCAAAACCCTGGAACACTCTGCCCCTCCATGTGCGTTTGGCTCCCTCTGTCAGCAGATTCAAGTCGGCCCTGAAAACACATTTTTTCAGTATTGCCTTCTCTCCGTGACACTTTACATGAAAATCCAGCACCGGGTTTATTTTTCTTAATTTAGTTTTAATGATTCAGTAGCTCACTTTTAATACCTCACACCATCTTGTAGCATTTTTGGTTTTGTTTCTGCCATTTCAAATGGTTTTTATCATGCGTCGCATTATTTTTATTTTTGATAGTGCTGTTAACTGTTCTCTTATTCTATTGTTTTTAGTAGGAATTCTTATCCTTGATTATTTGTACTATGTTTTTATTTATTTTACCAGATTTTCATGCTTTCATTGTGTTTTGCTAATATGTTCGAGCATTTGGCTCTTTTATGTACAGCACTTTGGTTAGCTGCCATGCTATTTTGAAATGGTGCTTTATAAATAAATTGATATGGTATGGAATTGTCTATTTTGTTTTGACAGCTTGAGGTATAATTCATAACAGTATTATTACAAGTATTAATTAAATGGGACAAAACAAAAATACTTTTCAGATCATCTTTAAAGTAAAAAATATGTAATCCCTCAAAAGAAATCAATATTTACGCCACTTATATAAACTAGCTTTGTGTTTTAGTTTTCTGTGACTCTCTTTTTTGTTATTAGAACCTTAATTGAGAAGATTTTCTGTTAAATGACAGTAAAATAATTATTAAATTTGAATGTCATATTTTAGAAATTAACAAGTATTTATCTTGTTTCAAGGACAAGATTTTCTATCAACTTGATGAATTCCTCATCTTGTAACAACAGTTCGAGCAGTTTTATATATCGAAGCAGCTCGAGCACAGCTGCTACCAGAAGCGTGATTGCTATCACTCTCGGCTTCATCATCAACTACATCAACGGGACACTGGTTCACACCTTCAGAAAACACCAGGTCAGCGTTGTTGTTTCTGGATGTCTCTGATATAACAGTGAAGATTTCTATTTTTATCAAGGGTAATCAATATAAAAAAATCAATTCAGTCTTCTCAAGGCACTTCACAAAGTAAACATTCCAATGCAGTTCAGCTCATTAAGTAAATCAGTAAAATGTTTCCTACATGAGGAACCCAGCAGGTTGCATTGATTCACTGACTAGTGTCAGAGTCTTTAAAGCAATCTTCATACTGGTCATCTTGGTTTCTTAAGTCGTTGAAATGTTTCTCTTGTTTTTCAGATATTTTACATGAATCCTCGTTACATCCTGTTCATCCATCTGGTGGTGAATGATATGATCCAACTGACAACATCAATCAGCTTGCTTGCCTTCAGCTATGTTTTCTACAATATGAGCTCCTATCTCTGTTTACTCATTATTGTTGTTGCTATTTTTACCACTATGAACACTCCGATAAATTTAGCTGTAATGGCTCTGGAGTGCTACATCGCTGTATGTTTCCCTCTCCGACACGCTGAGCTCTGCACCGTAAAACGAACATATATTCTGATCGGTGGTATTTGGGTTTTGAGCTCATTGACGATTGTGCCTGATATATTTCTTCATCTGGCAACAGATCCTCTATGGTTATTTTGTTCTTTAGCAATCTGTGAAAAGGATAATCTGTTCCAACATCCGGTAAGTAAACCAAAAAGGACCATTATTTTTATCATATATTTAACTTTAATCTGGCTCACTCTCGTCATTACCTACTTAAAAATCTTCTTTGTGGCCCAAAAAGCTAAGTCAACTGATGGAAGTGCAAAGAAGGCTCGGAACACCATCCTGCTTCATGGCTTTCAGCTCCTGTTGTGTATGCTAACATATGCAGACTTTATCATCAAAAATTCCATCGTAGCCACTCCTCAGATCTTATCTTATATAACCTATTTTTTGTACATCTTGATTCACATTCTGCCCAGGTTTGTCAGTCCCATTGTATACGGGCTGCGAGACAAGACTTTTAGACAGTATTTAAAAAACCATCTGCTGTGTGACATCAGAGCAGGAAGCAAACTGTATCCTTCAAAATAACTTCTGTTGATGTACTAAATGCTATTTTAGGCCAATCCACTGAAATTATGCTTGCATTTACTCTACAACAATGGAATAATTCACAATGACCAATTTGTGATTTCATTGCTCCTTGCTGGCATCTGAGGAAAAATATTTAGTTTTTATCCTTATTAACTCATTTCATGTTTCAAGTTTGTACTCACATGTTCACATTGTTTGTAAAAATGTTTGCTTTTTTGGACTTTTGTTCTCATGTCAGGTTCGAATTAAAACAATATGTCATAATTTTAAATAATTGGGGCAGCAGTAGCTCAACAGGTTGAGCGGGTTGTCCAGTAATCGGAAGGTTGCAGGCTCGATCCCGGCTCTGGACAGAGAATTCTGCTGTTGTTTCCTTGGGCAAGACACTTAACCCACCTTGCCTGCTGGTGGTGGTCGGAGGGACCAGTGGCGCCTGTGCTCGGCAGCCTCGCCTCTGTCAGTGTGCCCCAGGGCAGCTGTGGCTACATCGTAGCTCATCACCATCAGTGTGTGAATGGATGAATGCTACACTGTAGTGTAAAGCGCTTTGGAGTCCTTACTCTGAGAGGTGCTATACAAGCGCCGGTCATTTATAATTTAAAAAACCCCACATTTTTGTTTTTCTCTATTATTGTAACTTCCAGTGGTGATGTGAATAATAAAGAAAAATGGATGGATAATTGTTGGATACTTTTATATTACTCCCAAAATTACCTCAAAGAAAGTCAGAGCATACACAGAGGGATTAGATTAATAATTTGGTTAATTATAATCAGTATATAATCAATCAACAAATTCAACTTTGCAAAGGGTGAAACATACACACCAGAGTCAGAGGCGGTTTGTTCTCACACAGAGGTAAAGCTGTTGAGAGCTTTTATTAGGAATCACATCACCAGAGATAACCACACCTACTTATCACGGAAGACAAAAGGGAATACTTCAAAGAGGTTTCACAGCAGGACCATGGAGACATCCAGTCTGGCCTTGATTAGCTGCAGGAGGGAGGCATTACTAATTTAAATGTAAATAACGATGATAAACTCTGTTTGATTACCACAATTTTTATCCAACAATAATTTTAATATAGGGTCTAGAAATTGGAAAAAGGTGCATCAAGCGCTTAACCTCCGATTTTGTTTTCTTTCTGGCCTTAGTTGGGGGGACAGATCTGGGTCAATCTGAATCTGGGGGGGACAGATTCCCCCCGTCCCCCACCCTATCTGCATGCCTGTGTCCAATGGTATCGTATTCCACAGTTTTGAGGCTCTCACAGAAAAACATAACTGTCCAAAAGAGCAAGACCTATGAGGAACTACACAGTCCCCTCTTAGTGCAGACCTTGTGGTTCTGCTGCTTGATAGCTTCTGCTGAATAAAAGTACAAAGTGGTAGGGGGGCCTTCCCATTGATAATCTTAAAGATTAAACATGCATCACTGCGTTTTAAAATATTTTCCCAACTAAGTAGATCATATTTGGTAAGGACCTAAGGACCCTACAGTGATGATAGAGGTTGGATTTTTTTTGTCTAAGACTTTAAGGGCCTGTTTGTGAAGTGATAGGATGGGTCTTAATGTTGTACCACACACCTGGGTCCAGCTTGTAATACAATATGTTAGATGAGGGAATATCATAGTGTTCATGTATAGCATAGCTACAGGTGTTGTCAAGCAGTTTCTTATATACCTAAAGTTTGCTAGATTATATTTGGTAATTTGCACTACCTTTCTCACTTGATGTTTAAATGATAACGTATTGTCAATAATAATGCCTAGATATTTAAACTGTGTAACTGTTTGGATGACCTCCCCAGACACACACACACACACACACACAGTGGGTTCACAGTTGGATGAAATGTTCCTGTTGCTAAAAAACTTGCAAACTGTCTTTTTTACATTGAGATACAGCTGTGAGCAAGAAAGCCATTAATGTACATGTACCATGGTATCACTGAGCTTAGCAGCAGCTTGGGCTTTAGTTTTTGCATGAACATATATGACTGTCATCAGCATACATCTGCACCTCACATCCAGTGCACACTGATGGCAGGTCATTTATGTAGATGCTGAACAGAATAGGGCCCAGGACAGATCCCTGGGGTACACCAAGCCCCCACAATGCTGGTGAAAAATTGAAGCTAACGCGGAAATTAAATAAATTGCAGTTCCACCCTCATCCGCTGGGGGCTGGTGTCAGAAGCGAGCAAATCCTCATTGACTCCCGTGTTAAATATACTAATTTCACAGAAGAAATAAACATGTTTACAGCCTGGTTCCAAAACATGTTTTTTGTTTAAATGATCTAGTTTACACTCATGACAACTCTTAGGGGGTGAATTTTTTTCTCACTCTTCTGTTTAAGTGTATTAAAAGCCTAAAATTCTGTATAATTAATGAGCATCAGAGCCACGTGACAGCTAGAGGCTAGAGAAGGCTGAGATCAAAAACACTGGAGACGAGACAAGACAAGACTGACAGAATACAAACAATGGACCGCCCAGACACTGAGACAAGACAGGGCTTAAATACACAGGGAGGATGAGAGGGAGATGAGCTGCAGGTGTGTGGGGTGAGGGAGGAGGACCAAGTGAAAGCAATGACTAATCGGGGAGAAACTAACTTGACCTAAGAATAAAACCTAATACAAAAGAGCAGGACACATAACTACAATTCAAATGGAGGGGGGAGAAAAATAATAAACACTGAAGGGAAAAAACATACTAAATCATGAAAGGCTGTAACTAAAGGAAATGACTTGAGAAACCTAGAGGGCTGGAGATCTAGGGGCAAATGGGGAAAACCAGAAGACACATGAGGAAGATGCAGACATGACACATGAGGGCGCTAGGACATAAAAGGAGCACCTAGAGAACGAATGGAGGACAGAAGGAGACACATGAGGGGAGAAGCAGACACAGATCATGACACGACGTTGGCCCATTGGATTTTGTTTTCTCCTGTCATTGTATGTTTAGCAGAAATGCTGCAGCATCTTACTTTACTGCAATCGGGAAAATGGACATGAGTTTTGCTTTCCAAAGGGCACTGATAAAAAACAATTTCTTTCCATACACAGACTTTGTAACTGTTGTGATCTAGATGGATTATTTTTATATTCGTTACAATTTCAGATAAATGTATGAAGTAAGATTTATTCTTCCTAAAGTCACATTTTTAACTAATTTTTTTATGCATGTTGCTCCTGGGTTCTATGCTGTTGGAGGACAACACATGAATCACATTTCTTTTACAATCTCACACATTTACTGTTTTTACCAGTTATGTTAGTTTTTTGTTTCCTCTAGAATAAAGCGTAGTTGTTTATTATGTGTTTTTTATTTTATTTTCTTTTTTTTTTTTTTTTACCAAATATTGAGTTTGGCACAAGTAAACTGAATTTAATTAACAATTAACTACTTCCATTCCACACCTAGCTTCCAGCTTTCGATGGATGAATGCTGTTACAGCTTAGGCATAATGTTTTTTTATATTCTAATAATCTTTTAAAGTTTAAATGTGCTGGTAAATTTAGGGAATTAAAACTTGAAATTTTGCTTGTTCTCCCTCGCTCGTAAGAGACACTCGATCAAGTCCATGAATTCCTCAACTTCCTTTAAAAATATTTCAAGCAGTCTGAGTAATCAGGACATAATCGGAGCCTCAACTAAAACTGGGACCGCCATCGCTCTCGGCCTCATCATCAACTACATGAATGGCTTATTGATTCACTTCTTCAGAAAACACCAGGTCTGCTTTTGCTGGTTTCTTTTCATCAGTCTTACAGAAAATGAATAAGTGATTGAAAAAGTATTCTACCTGCATTTTGTCTTTCAGATATTCAACACAAATCCTCGCTATATCCTCTTCATCCATCTCGTGGTGAACGATGTGATCCAGCTTATAACTTCAATCTGCGTGTTTTGTTTTTTTTCGGTTATGTTTTAAACAAATTAAATGCTTCCTTCTGCTGCCTCATTATTACGTTTTCTGTTTTCACCACTATGAACACTCCGTTAAATTTAGCGGTGATGGCTGTGGAATGCTACATCGCTGTATGTTTGCCTCTGCGACACGCTGAGCTCTGCACCATCAAACGAACTTACATTATTATTGGTTGTATTTGGGGTTTTAGTGCTTTATCCATCATTCAAGACATCTTTATAATTATGGCAACAGAGCCCATGTGTTTATTTTTTTCCACAATTTTTTGTGACAGAGACACTCTGTTCCGACATCCTGTAAGTTTACAAAAGAGGGACATGCCATATCTCGTTTGTTTAACCGTAGTTTGGCTCACTCTCTTCTTTACCTACTTCAGGATCTTCTTTGCAGCTCAAGCAGCAAATTCTGCTGATGGAAATACAAAGAGGGCCAGAAACACGATCCTGCTTCATGGCTTCCAGCTACTGTTGTCCATGCTAACATTTGTTGACCCTATCATAAAAGGTTCCTTGATGCTTCTGTTTCCTCAGTATTTTGTTCACTTACGCTTTGTTTGGTATGTTATTGTTCACATTTTCCCCAGGTTTGTCTGTCCCATTGTGTACGGGCTGCGAGACAAAATGTTTAAACAGTATTTTAAAAAATATCTGCTGTGTAACAGCAAACAATGATCTGTATCCTTTGGGTAAACTGCTGTGATTCTACAATTCATACATCTGGTTTAAGCATACTCCTAACCCTAATCCTCTTTAATCAGCCTCTGTAAGCATATGAGGAAGAATGCTTGACTTTGGAAATGTCATTAATACAATTGCATTGAATATTTTCATTTGGAATTAGCTTATTTTTATTTTACTTCACAATGAAATGAGTAAAAATAATTGATTATGTTATGTCAGCCTCTCATTTATTGTGTTATTTGTCAGTAAAAGTGCAATTTGTATGTTTTTGCAATGATGTATCTTTAATTTCTGTGGCACATAATTAAAGTTTATTGCAGAGAAAAGAAGGATAGGCGTGGCTTCCGACTGACTTGACTTGCTGAAGCAGACCTGACTGGACATAACCTTGGCTTGGTTATTTGGGAGATGACCTGGAACCAGAGCAGGCTTTTGAGCTGCAGTAAGAGTTGTGGATGGCCTAAAGCAGGGGTCCTCGAGGACCGCTATCCTACATGTTTTAGTGTTTTCCCTGTTTCAACACACCTGATTTCAATCAAGTGATTAACTGGCTTCTGCAAAATCTGATGAGCTGATGAACATATAAATAAACTAAGCTGGAACCGGGAAACCAACCAACCAGACGCACAAAACAAAAGGCAAACAGAGACACGAGACAAGGAAACACAAGGGTGGGCAAGGAGGGAGTAAAGAAAAATGACCCATCAAGGTGGGCAAGGCGGGCAGAAGAGGTAACTAAAAAACACCAGAAAACAAGAACTAAACAAACTGAAATGAAAACTTCCAGCCCACAGAAGCTGGTGATATGGAGGCAGGTGCCAGCAGAGTCATCTGGGAGGCCGGCGATGATGGAGCAGGGATCAGGGGACTCTGGGTAATGATGGGACAAACGAAGCAAGGCTTCGAGGCTTGTATCGAGCAGGAAGGAGGTGTGCCCATGAAGTGTGACCATGAAGC